TTTTTTAAATTTCACAAAATACCATATTATTGATTATTAAGCTTCAATTCCATAACAGAGAATAATGTGAGGGATTCTTACCCGAATTGATATTCGAAATATCGAACTTTCTACTGCGCATACTGGTTGTCCCCAGATTTTTTGAATTTTTCTGCAGAAGTTTAAACATGCTTCACGTACCTAAAAATACCCCAAAAACTCAAAATAGGTGTTAAAAGTTTCTTCGGGCCAATTTTGGAGTTTCGGCATGGCAGCACTGTCGTGCTCCAACAACAGTACCATCGCCTGCAATAGTGATTTACCTTGGTCTCACCGTTTTCGGCTGCCTTTATACGTATCCCTATGAAAAAATACGTTAGGGGGCTTTAGTTGGCCAAAAAAATTAGAAAAAATAGAAACCTACTAGTGGTGGAATTTTTCGGGTGCGGCGGCTCCGCCAGCTCACCTTCGCAACTGAGATTTTTTCTTCGGTCAATCTGTAGAATACAAAATGGTGAACACAATAGTGGAAAAATCTCACGAAACGGAAAATGGGAAGGGACTCATTGGAGGAGGTTGCAAGTTTTGCCCGTGGCGGCTCCATTGGGCTTTACCCATAGTTTTTGGCTCACTTGCCATTCATTTTGTTCCGATATGGTTACAGGGGTACTCTAAATTGAATTCTGAGCAAATAGGAGAATTTTACCTTTTTTGGCGATTGACAGTTGATTATCTTATCCAGCGACTGGTTCTTCTTCTCCGGTGGGAGGCTGGCAGCTAGGGTTCGGGTTCAGTGTGATACGAAATATTTATACCCATCTCGCGTTAATGTAGACCGTTCATCGCATTTGATCTCAACCATTCGATTGCACCTAAGGAGAAAATGAATATGGACTGTTCATCGCGTTTGATCTCGACCGTCCGATTGTGCCTAAGAGGGAAATGGATCCGGATCATCCACGCGCGTAGGATCGCTTTTGGGTCGTCCAATCGCGGGGCACGCGGATCGTTAGCGTGGCCTCCTGTGTGACACCGAGTCAGTGTGCCTTGCTACCTGGCACACTCCGATTCATCGAGGCTGTTGATTGGGCGCTCCTAAGTGGCCTAATTTTTTTTTTTGCATTCTGACCCTATGTTTTTTATTTTTCTTTCAAAAACATAATTCGAATCCAAATTTTCACTTATTTTTTTCAAAATTATTTTCAATCTCATCCTTAATTTATTTTTTCTCGAATATAATAAAATTTTTATTAAATTAATTTATAAAATATATTTTCTATACATCTATAAGTTAACAAAATTTATCCCGGGTTAATTTTTCAAGTCTGGGTATTACAGTCAAATAAAACAATTTATAATCCGACCCAATAGGTAATGAATGTTAATCTTGTTATACAAGTTCTTTCAGATGTAATTTTCTAATATACTTAATTCGACTCCAAAAAGATACCTTCATTAGTATATTGCAATGTATTTATTTTGTCCATATTAAAATTAAGTAAAAAAACACACATTAAAATGTTATACCGACTATATATTGATTGAATTAATTAGTGTTTTTAATATTTTCTATGAGAGTACGAGTTTAAATTAAATATATATCTCATACATTATTATCATCGAGAGATTAATTATGTTATTAATAATGTACAAATATTATAAAAATATATAGATTTTTATTAAAAGATCAAAGTTTTTTATAGTGATAGCAAAAAAATTTCCAATGCCCCTACTATGCATAGGCTTGTATGCAATTTATATATAATTTGTGTTTACATACCCTCTTTTATAAATGGTCTTTTTTTTAAAGAATGACACATAATAAGTATATATTCACCCTCTTTTTATTATTATTATTATTATTTTCAAAATGGAGAATATTATTACTAATCAATTAAACTTTATATTTATCGCATTTTAAACATGTTTCAATTAAATTGTGGCTTTAAAGCAATCATAAGTAAGAGAGAAAGAAATAATATTTTGGTTAGATAAGATTAATTAAGAAAATATATTGGCCTTGGAATAATATTCAGTAATTAATTAAAATTCTAAACTTCCATTAGGTGTTTAATTAAGTACAAATATTTACATTAATGGAATAGTTGAAGACTAATGTATATAAATATACATATATGTATATATGTATATAGGATAAGCCATAGGTAGGATGGTTAATCTTATCTTTACTTCCTAGTTATATACAATTTCCATTATAATTTTTGTTAGTTTTGATTTCCATTCAGAGATAGAGATACTGACTTGCAATTGCATCTTTCTTTCCTAATTAGTTCACAAGAATGAAATTGAATGATTATTCACTTTCCATTTTAATCCAATTTCCTTCACAAAGAATCACACCATTTTTATTTTATTTTTTGTGTAAAAATGAAACTTAAATGATTAAATCCTAATAATTACATCATTGCTTGCGCATTGTTTGTAGGGTACCCACATGATCAACATGTCATTTACTGTTCTCCTTGTAAAATTAAGGATAAATTATTGAAAAATTTCTTGATTTTTAATTCTAATTATAGTTATTCAATTAATTATAAAAAATAATAATTATGATTTAATTTATATATTTTTAACAGATATAAAAATTCGATCTACTAAATTATTAAAATATAAAATTATTTTTAGTTTCAGATACAAATACTTTTCTATTCGTTCGAGATTTTTTTAAAACTATAACATGAATTATTTTAGCATCATAGCGTCCGATACTCGAATAATTGATTTAGGACAATTTTTTCTATCTTGAAAAAGTAAGGGCACCTTACGCCCTTGAATTGATAACTATTTTTTGATTAATCTTGTATTCTCCGTCCGTAAGGATTAATATAAGAATATTCGCTTATTGTCTATGACTTATGTCTTTCCACATGATTTTAGGTTTTTTTTTTTTTTCAAAGCTCAAACATGAAAACTCAATCTAATTTTTTAGAAAAGCAAACAAACAAAAAATTATTTTTTTAAAAAAATAAATAAATAAAAGAGCTAGTTGACTAATTATTAATTTTGGTTTATACTTTTTAACATGTCAAATTTTAATTTTTCTTTAAAGAAAGAAAGTTATTATGTATTCTCCTAAAAAAGATTGTATGTGGCTTAGTAATCTACAATTAGTTCAATAGATTGAGCTGTAATTTTTATTCAAAAATCCAAATTTGTAAACTCAACCATAATTAAAATTAAATAATTTATTAAAAAAAAATATTAGTTTATAATTAATTACCTTAAAATTAATTTAGAATCCCATATTTGTGTTATTACGTAAAACATTAAATCGATTGATGGGTATAATTGGATTTTGCAAAAATTGGAAATTCTCATTTTCATATGAATTTTTTTCTTTAAAAAAAAAAAAAAAAAAAAAGAGAAGAAGATTAAGATAGAAAAAAGTAATTAAAAATTCAACATCCTTTTGACTTTGCCTATCTTATGATTTTCTTGTTTAAGTGTCACACCCATAATTCCATTGAGGAAGACATGTATGTCTCAACTCAAGGCTAGAGCTACAAGACAAATTATATTATAT